TTTAAATCCCCACGTCAGAGACATTTAAATCCCCACGTCAGAGACATTTAAATCCCCACGTCAGAGACATTTAAATCCCCACGTCAGACACATTTAAATCACCACGTCAGACACATTTAAATCACCACGTCAGAGACCTTTAAATCCCCACGTCAGAGACATTTAAATCCCCACGTCAGAGACCTTTAAAACCCCACGTCAGAGACATTTAAATCCTCACTTCAGAGACCTTTAAATCCCCACGTCAGAGACATTTAAATCCCCACGTCAGAGACCTTTAAATCCCCACGTCAGAGACCTTTAAATCCCCACGTCAGAGACATTTAAATCCCCACGTCAGAGACCTTTAAATCCCCACGTCAGAGACCTTTAAATCCCCACGTCAGAGACCTTTAAATCCCCACGTCAGAGACCTTTAAATCCCCACGTCAGAGACCTTTAAATCCCCACGTCAGAGACATTTAAATCCCCACGTCAGAGACCTTTAAAACCCCACGTCAGAGACATTTAAATCCTCACTTCAGAGACCTTTAAATCCCCACGTCAGAGACCTTTAAATCCCCACGTCAGAGACCTTTAAATCCCCACGTCAGAGACCTTTAAATCCCCACGTCAGAGACATTTAAATCCCCATGTCAGAGACCTTTAAATCCCCATGTCAGAGACCTTTAAATCCCCACGTCAGAGACCTTTAAATCCCCACGTCAGAGACATTTAAATCCCCACGTCAGAGACCTTTAAATCCCCACGTCAGAGACCTTTAAATCCCCACGTCAGAGACCTTTAAATCCCCACGTCAGAGACCTTTAAATCCCCACGTCAGAGACCTTTAAATCCCCACGTCAGAGACCTTTAAATCCCCACGTCAGAGACCTTTAAATCCCCACGTCAGAGACATTTAAATCCCCACGTCAGAGACCTTTAAAACCCCACGTCAGAGACATTTAAATCCTCACTTCAGAGACCTTTAAATCCTCACGTCAGAGACATTTAAATCCCCACGTCAGAGACCTTTAAATCCCCACGTCAGAGACCTTTAAATCCCCACGTCAGAGACCTTTAAATCCCCACGTCAGAGACCTTTAAATCCCCACGTCAGAGACCTTTAAATCCCCACGTCAGAGACCTTTAAATCCCCACGTCAGAGACATTTAAATCCCCACGTCAGAGGCATTTAAATCCCCACGTCAGAGACATTTAAATCCCCACGTCAGACACATTTAAATCACCACGTCAGACACATTTAAATCACCACGTCAGAGACCTTTAAAACCCCACGTCAGAGACATTTAAATCCTCACTTCAGAGACCTTTAAATCCTCACGTCAGAGACATTTAAATCCCCACGTCAGAGACCTTTAAATCCCCACGTCAGAGACCTTTAAATCCCCACGTCAGAGACCTTTAAATCCCCACGTCAGAGACATTTAAATCCCCACGTCAGACACGTTTAAATCACCACGTCAGACACATTTAAATCACCACGTCAGAGACCTTTAAAACCCCACGTCAGAGACATTTAAATCCTCACTTCAGAGACCTTTAAATCCCCACGTCAGAGACCTTTAAATCCCCACGTCAGAGACCTTTAAATCCCCACGTCAGAGACCTTTAAATCCCCACGTCAGAGACATTTAAATCCCCACGTCAGAGACATTTAAATCCCCACGTCAGAGACATTTAAATCCCCACGTCAGAGACATTTAAATCCCCACGTCAGAGACATTTAAATCCCCACGTCAGAGACATTTAAATCCCCACGTCAGAGACCTTTAAATCCCCACGTCAGAGACATTTAAATCCCCACGTCAGAGACCTTTAAAACCCCACGTCAGAGACATTTAAATCCTCACTTCAGAGACCTTTAAATCCTCACGTCAGAGACATTTAAATCCCCACGTCAGAGACCTTTAAATCCCCACGTCAGAGACCTTTAAATCCCCACGTCAGAGACATTTAAATCCCCACGTCAGAGACCTTTAAATCCCCACGTCAGAGACCTTTAAATCCCCACGTCAGAGACCTTTAAATCCCCACGTCAGAGACCTTTAAATCCCCACGTCAGAGACATTTAAATCCCCACGTCAGAGACCTTTAAATCCCCACGTCAGAGACCTTTAAATCCCCACGTCAGAGACCTTTAAATCCCCACGTCATATGCCTTTAAATCCCCACGTCAGAGACCTTTAAATCCCCACGTCAGAGACCTTTAAATCCCCACGTCAGAGACCTTTAAATCCCCACGTCAGAGACCTTTAAATCCCCACGTCAGAGACCTTTAAATCCCCACGTCAGAGACCTTTAAATCCCCACGTCAGAGACCTTTAAATCCCCACGTCAGAGACCTTTAAATCCCCACGTCAGAGACCTTTAAATCCCCACGTCAGAGACCTTTAAATCCCCACGTCAGAGACATTTAAATCCCCACGTCAGAGACCTTTAAAACCCCACGTCAGAGACATTTAAATCCCCACGTCAGAGACCTTTAAATCCCCACGTCAGAGACCTTTAAATCCCCACGTCAGAGACCTTTAAATCCCCACGTCAGAGACATTTAAATCCCCACGTCAGAGACCTTTAAATCCCCACGTCAGAGAACCTTTAAATCCCCACGTCAGAGACCTTTAAATCCCCACGTCAGAGACATTTAAATCCCCACGTCAGAGACATTTAAATCCCCACGTCAGACACATTTAAATCACCACGTCAGACACATTTAAATCACCACGTCAGAGACCTTTAAATCCCCACGTCAGAGACATTTAAATCCCCACGTCAGAGACCTTTAAAACCCCACGTCAGAGACATATAAATCCTCACTTCAGAGACCTTTAAATCCTCACGTCAGAGACATTTAAATCCCCACGTCAGAGACCTTTAAATCCCCACGTCAGAGACCTTTAAATCCCCACGTCAGAGACATTTAAATCCCCACGTCAGAGACCTTTAAATCCCCACGTCAGAGACCTTTAAATCCCCACGTCAGAGACCTTTAAATCCCCACGTCAGAGACCTTTAAATCCCCACGTCAGAGACCTTTAAATCCCCACGTCAGAGACCTTTAAATCCCCACGTCAGAGACCTTTAAATCCCCTCGTCAGAGACCTTTAAATCCTCACGTCAGAGACATTTCAGCCGAAAGATCAAAGATATTTCAATCATAGCGACATATATATATTTAAATCATATCGCCAAAAATTACAATCATAGGCCCATCATTAAAATAGAGCGACAGGCTGTTACAGCCAACTAATTAATGTTATAATTTGTTGTGAACAACACCAGTCTTTTGATGGATATAGAGGTATATGTGTACACATAAATGTTTGTGGGTGGTAGCTTTCATATTCAAAGGAATATCGCACAGTTTGGTCATTATAAATGTAAAAATGATTGTGAATTATTACCCTGAGGAATTGCTCGCGTTAACCTGTAAATGCATGAACACTGACTGACTGACAAACACACGTACACAGATACAGTTGCATACACTCATGTATACACACTGACAGAGATACAGACACATGTCCTGAGACACACAGGTGCACATATGGAGGCTCAGATACACATACCTGCAGATGTAGACTCGTATACATACATGTAGTGGTAACATGAGGTACACATGCAAGCACAGGCGCAGGTGAAGAAACACGTGTACACATGCATGCGAGGAGTGGGAAAAGCTTGGTAAGAATAACAGTGGAACAAGAGAACACTTGTGTTTGAGACATAGTGAAACATGAGAACATGTCTCCCAGCGTCAGAGCTGCGTCAACACGCTGGCAGGCTGTCCCGAGTGTCCCAGTGGTGGCAGGCTGTCCCGGGTGTTGGTGTGGCTCTTTGGTCCCGCCTCTCAACCGTCAATCAACTGATGTACAGATTCCTGAGCTTACTGGGCTCTATCGTATCTACATTAAATTATATCAGATATTAATTCATCTACATATATGTGTGTGTGTGTGTGTGTGTGTGTGTGTGTGTGTGTGTGTGTGTGTGTGTGTGTGTGTGTGTGTGTGTGTGTGTGTAGACTATAGTTGAGTTTCCACCAAATTCCTCACTTCGTTAGAAACAAAGTCAATTTAAAAGTGAAAATGTCTGAGTGCACGCTGGGCAGAGTGACCCTCTCGCAATGAATGTTGAATGTTGTGTGTTTTCCTGTCAGTCTGTTTGACTGATTGTTACTCCCTGTGTGTCTGTCAGGCTTTCCCTCTGTACAGTGATTTATTTTTGTTCTCTTTCCTGCGTTTGTATTTCAGTTGAAAAACATGTACATAGCCACACTCATGCGCTTGTACTTCTCTCCCCCATAACACACACAGTGGAGTAGGAATGTTCAAAGCGGTGAACAGTTCCACTAGTGGATATATATATTAGCTTGAGTCATAAAAGAGTCACTGGTGTTCAGGGCCTCGTGTGTGTGTGTGTGTATATAAACACACATGAGGCGTGTGTATATATATATATATATATATATATATATATATATATATATATATATATATATATATATATATATATATATATATATATAATTTCAGAATGTTTCAGAAAATGTTTTCACAAGCAATCAAGCCTCGTAATAAGTACAGACTAATGACTCTCACCAATAAACTGCAGGAATAAATTATAAAAATGAAAGTATGATGGTAGAGCAATATTTTATTTCAAAATATACACGTTATTTGGACGCCTGAAGCGGTTTGTCCCTTGACATATTATAGTGGTGTGCTTCGTGTCAGCTTCGTCAGTCAAGGAGGTGGCAGCTTCGTCAGTCAAGGTGGTGGCAGCTTCGTCAGTCAAGGTGGTGGCAGCTTCGTCAGTCAAGGTGGTGTCAGCTTCGTCAGTCAAGGTGGTGGCAGCTTAGTCAAGGTGGTGGCAGCTTAGTCAAGGTGGTGGCAGCTTAGTCAGTCAAGGTGGTGGCAGCTTAGTCAGTCAAGGTGGTGGCAGCTTTAGTGGCAGCTTAGTCAAGGTGGTGGCAGCTTAGTGGCAGCTTAGTCAGTCAAGGTGGTGGCAGCTTAGTCAGTCAAGGTGGTGGAAGCTTAGTCAGTCAAGGTGGTGGCAGCTTAGTCAAGGTGGTGGCAGCTTAGGCAAGGTGGTGGCAGCTTAGTCAGTCAAGGTGGTGGCAGCTTAGTCAGTCAAGGTGGTGGCAGCTTAGTCAGTCAAGGTGGTGGCAGCTTAGTCAAGGTGGTGGCAGCTTAGTCAAGGTGGTGGCAGCTTAGTCAAGGTGGTGGCAGCTTAGTCAGTCAAGGTGGTGGCAGCTTAGTCAAGGTGGTGGCAGCTTAGTCAGTCAAGGTGGTGGCAGCTTAGTCAGTCAAGGTGGTGGAAGCTTAGTCAGTCAAGGTGGTGGCAGCTTAGTCAGTCAAGGTGGTGGCAGCTTAGTCAGGGTGGTGGCAGCTTAGTCATTAGTCATATATGACCAATAAATACATTTCATATATTTAGAAAATGCAACATTTTTACCTACGTTGTCACTGTAAATCAGCCAAGATCAGAACCACGTATGAACACATAATTCTCACGAAACAAAAAGGAGCAAATATTTATACCGTCCCGTCACAGGCTGATATTCCTGTTCTTGTAATGTATAACATTTGCCTTTGTTCTTTTCATTCATGTGAGAGGTGTTGTTTCTCTAACACATTTGGTGCTGAGTAGCTGCATTCCCTGTTGGTGTAAGATGCTTGTCCTTATGTAGAGCAAGTCTTAAAGGCTGAAGTAACACGGGTGTTCGACATAGTTCATGGAGCTGTTGCATTATTTCTATACTCTGAAGCTTGTTAAGTGATGCATAGCGATCTGATTTTACTTTTACTGTTTTTACTTCATCCACTTATATATTGATTACTTGGAAATATATATGATAATATACATCGGTGTTTCTCTCAAGAGATCCGTAAGTCACTCATTTATATTGCTCATGAGGAGCTCAGAAAGTTTGGTAATTGAGTCTAAGATTACGGCAGGTCTATGTTCTTACATTAATACACTTGGAATTGTTGTTTGTGTTGGTGTAATTACACATTTCTAGTAGCAGGAATATACTTTGTAAATGTGTCTATGTATTCTTGTGTATATGTGTGTGTGTGTGTGTGTGTGTGTGTGTGTGTGTGTGTGTGTGTTTTAATACTTCGTGTTTATGTTTTAGTATCCTGTTAGTCTTTGGCACAAAATAACAAGAAGGAGCGGAGGTCCATAAATAATGTAACAGTCCGAGGAATGGATTAAGAAAACTGCGAGTAGAGACGCCAGGAGAGGTGAGGTGTGGGAGATGAGACAGGCGGAAGGGAGACGAATGGTGATGAATGTGGTGTGAGGGAAGAGAGAAGAGGGGAATCTGGTGAGAGGCTGGAGCAGCATCAAGGAGGTACCACTGTAGCGGAGGGCAAAACGATTTCAGTTCGTATCACTAGTACTAATTATATCACAGTGATAATAACTGGTTGTAGAATAACAGGATGAAGAATACACAAAGAAATTTATCTGCGAGGACAGATACACTGCTTGATGTCAACACCGAAGTTACCCACACGCTGGGGAAGGGGGGGGTCAGCACACTGGGAGGAGGTGAGCATGCTGGGGGAAGTCAACACGCTGAGGTTGGAGGAAGAAGCAGCATCACGTATCGATGAAGCAGCTGGTGGTGTTGGGGTGCAGCAGTAGCAGCAGCAGCAGCAACAGCAGGGGGGAGACAAAGGGTGCTGGTGCAAAGTTCCCGTGCTGCATGGCAGCAGGAGGGTCACCTGTACGGGTAGAGAACGTCCGGTTAAGTTCATGTCGGGTCGTGTCGAGGCCCTCAAACACGCCTCGCTTGTCAACCCAACATGTTATCGTGTCATTATAGGACTAAATCCTGTGTGACGTGTCGGAACACACGCTCTGAGTGTCAGCCAGACCCGACGTCTGTGTCACGTGTCGGAACACACGCTCTGAGTGTCATCCAGACCCGACGTCTGTGTCACGTGTCGAAACACATTTTGAAAGTGTCAGATGAAAACAGAACTTAACAGATAAGCAGCTGCGTGTGTTCTTGGGGACGTGATTACACTGATTACTGTGGGTGTGAGTGAGTATTGTGGGAGACAGTCTTGATGGGAGACTAGTGTGTATTAGAACAAGTGGGATTGTTCGTTCTCAGTATATGTCCTTGTCTGTCTGTCACTCTCTCTCTCTCTCTCTCTCTCTCTCTCTCTCTCTCTCTCTCTCTCTCTCTCTCTCTCTCTCTCTCTCTCTCTCTCTCTCTCTCTCTCTCTCTCTCACACACACAAACACAGTAGCGTAGACCAACCTTGTATGACGTGCACCGTAACACTGTCTGGTCTGCCTGCAGAGGGCCAGCACGAATAGTTGCCTGAGTCCTGATGCGTGGCCTGCATCACCGTGAGTGTACTGCTGGTGACATTGTCCACCAGCGTCACCACCGTCACCCTCCCTGCGTCACGCTGGACCAGCCGATCATCCAGGTACCACAAGACCAGACCTGAGGCCACCAGGGAGGAACACCAGACCAAGTGAGGGAGAATTAGAGTGAGAGACTGAGGGAAGAAGAGACCTGATGATCTCTGAGGAGGAGTCTCTTGACTCTGAGGGACCTGATAACATCTTAAGAGGTCACTAGAGACTTAATACACACTCAAATTTGTTATTTTACATATTTGAAAAACTTGGAATCTGAATCATTGCGTTAAATTTATAGAGCATTACACATCTACATAAGTACGTACATACACACACACACACACACACACACACACACACACACACACACACACACACACACACACACACACACACACACACACACACACGAGCACTATTTATCTGCAATTTAAGTTTGTGCAATAAAATGAGACGAAGCAGACTGCCTCCTCACGAACCTCCCTTTAAGAGTTCGCTGAAGAGCCAGACCGCACACAGAAAACGGTAGTTTCTAAGGTAACTTTTCCGTTTTAAAAATTAAATTATTTTTGTTTACCTCTGTAAAGCAAAATGACAGAGGGAGACTAAAGGTAAGAGACAGAGGGAGGCTGAGAGGGAGACAAAGAGATACCGAGTTGGACATATGGAGAATTCGCACGACAGAAAATAAAGGGAAGCGCTGACTAAAAGAATATATTTAGATTTCCTTCCGCGAGTATCTGGCAGGAGTTGGACGGTATGAAAGCCACATATTAGAGGAAGATGAAGCCGTGTGAACGCCCCTCACTACGTACCCTTTAACTCACAGAGAACTAGAGAGGTTTGGAAATGGTGAATGTTGTCCTTGTATGCATGACTGGAGGAACACTCAACTACACAATATAAAGCAAATATTTGCAGCATGGTACTGGACTGACCAGGAGACCCAGCATGGTACTGGACTGACCAGGAGACCCAGCATGGTACTGGACTGACCAGGAGACCCAGCATGGTACTGGACTGACCAGGAGACCCAGCATGGTACTGGACTGACCAGGAGACCCAGCATGGTACTGACCAGGAGACCCAGCATGGTACTGGACTGACCAGGAGACCCAGCATGGTACTGGACTGACCAGGAGACCCAGCATGGTACTGGACTGACCAGGAGACCCAGCATTGTACTGGACTGACCAGGAGACCCAGCATTGTACTGGACTGACCAGGAGACCCAGCATGGTACTGCACTGACCAGGAGACCCAGCATGGTACTAGACTGACCAGAAGGAGGTTCATGGGTCGTTGAAATGCAGTCAATTTCTTTTCTAAATGGTGAAATAGATGCAACGAAAGGAAGCAAATAGAGTGAGAAACTAGGTCAAGATGACGAATTCTCCGAAATGTTAAAGGTGTATGTATGAGTTCTGAGCTCACACACACACACACACACACACACACACACACACACACACACACACACACACACACACACACACACACACACACACACACTCACCAGGAATAAGGAGCTGCTCCGTGATGATACACTCCAGCATCACAGTGCTGCCGGCTTGCACGTACAAGGTTTCCTTGCCCATGATGGCGGCCCGGGCCTCTGTGGAGGGGGTAGATGGGCACGGCTTACTGTACTGGGTATGTATACAGCCTTGTGTGTTAAGTGTTTCCTGGTGTGTCTTACAATATATTGAGTATGTTGCATGGCATGTTAAGTGTCTCCTGATATGACATTGTATATTGAGTATGTTTCCTGTTGTGCTAAGTGTCTGTAGATGATATATATATATATATATATATATATATATATATATATATATATATATATATATATATATATATATATATATATATATATATATATATATTAGTATATTTATGACCGAAAAAGTAAGATTAATAATTCTAACACGAATTTTCTCAATCTTTCGTACATTACGCTTCACTGTTGGAGGTAAATCAAAAATCACTTCTCCAAAATTCATTTTTATTTCTAGTCTGACGCGACACGGGCGCGTTTCGTAAAACTTATTACATTTTCAAAGACTTCACAAATACACAACTGATTAGAACTTGCGTTTCTCTGATTTTATATCTACATTTGAGTGAGGTGGGAAGGGTGATGTGGCATTAACACAAGACAGAACAATAGGGGATATTAATAGGGTATTAAAAGTATCAACACAAGACAGAACAGAAACAATGGGTATTGAATAGAAGTGTTTGTAGAAAGCCTATTGGTCCATATTTCTTGATGCTTCTATATTGGAGCGGAGTCTTGAGGTGGGTAGAATATAGTTGTGCAATAATTGGCTGTTGATTGCTGGTGTTGACTTCTTGATGTGTAGTGCCTCGCAAACGTCAAGCCGCCTGCTATCGCTGTATCTATCGATGATTTCTGTGTTGTTTACTAGGATTTCTCTGGCGATGGTTTGGTTATGGGAAGAGATTATATGTTCCTTAATGGAGCCCTGTTGCTTATGCATCGTTAAACGCCTAGAAAGAGATGTTGTTGTCTTGCCTATATACTGGGTTTTTTGGAGCTTACAGTCCCCAAGTGGGCATTTGAAGGCATAGACGACGTTAGTCTCTTTTAAAGCGTTCTGTTTTGTGTCTGGATAGTTTCTCATGAGTAGGCTGGCCGTTTTTCTGGTTTTATAGTAAATCGTCAGTTGTATCCTCTGATTTTTGTCTGTAGGGATAACGTTTCTATTAACAATATCTTTCAGGACCCTTTCCTCCGTTTTATGAGCTGTGGAAAAGAAGTTCCTGTAAAAACCTCCGAAGAGACAACTAACACAACACCTATACCCCCTATTAGACTATTTTACAGGAACTTCTTTTCCACAGCTCATAAAACGGAGGAAAGGGTCCTGAAAGATATTGTTAATAGAAACGTTATCCCTACAGACAAAAATCAGAGGATACAACTGACGATTTACTATAAAACCAGAAAAACGGCCAGCCTACTCATGAGAAACTCTCCAGACACAAAACAGAACGCTTTAAAAGAGACTAACGTCGTCTATGCCTTCAAATGCCCACTTGGGGACTGTAAGCTCCAAAAAACCCAGTATATAGCCAAGACAACAACATCTCTTTCTAGGCGTTTAACGATGCATAAGCAACAGGGCTCCATTAAGGAACATATAATCTCTTCCCATAACCAAACCATCGCCAGAGAAATCCTAGTAAACAACACAGAAATCATCGATAGATACAGCGATAGCAGGCGGCTTGACGTTTGCGAGGCACTACACATCAAGAAGTCAACACCAGCAATCAACAGCCAATTATTGCACAACTATATTCTACCCACCTCAAGACTCCGCTCCAATATAGAAGCATCAAGAAATATGGACCAATAGGCTTTCTACAAACACTTCTATTCAATACCCATTGTTTCTGTTCTGTCTTGTGTTGATACTTTTAATACCCTATTAATATCCCCTATTGTTCTGTCTTGTGTTAATGCCACATCACCCTTCCCACCTCACTCAAATGTAGATATAAAATCAGAGAAACGCAAGTTCTAATCAGTTGTGTATTTGTGAAGTCTTTGAAAATGTAATAAGTTTTACGAAACGCGCCCGTGTCGCGTCAGACTAGAAATAAAAATGAATTTTGGAGAAGTGATTTTTGATTTACCTCCAACAGTGAAGCGTAATGTACGAAAGATTGAGAAAATTCGTGTTAGAATTATTAATCTTACTTTTTCGGTCATATTAATAATATATATATATATATATATATATATATATATATATATATATATATATATATATATATATATATATATATATAAGAAAATCTTTGGAGCAGGACGGCTGATGAAAACATGGTCCAAGGTCACAGCATATCGTGGGTCATGGGTCAGGTGCTTCTTCAGCCTATCCTTGGTAGTTCAGTCCCTTCAATTCCTTGTCCAAAAATTACTAATACCAATTTGTTGAACATTTACGTCACCACCAACATTAATGAACTTCGACTTTTGTCATTTGTAGTGTGAGATTTCACATCATTTGCAGTGTGAGACTATACTGCCAGGAGCAGCTGGTGCAGTGGTCACACAAAGCCAGTCTTGCCGGAGGAGTTTAAACAATAAATCTTCACGTCGAAGAAATAAAAAGAATTGGGTCATAAATCAGGCCGTGTCATTGTTGTGTCCGGTGGTAAACTTTTGCTGGCTGATGTAATACAGGTAATTAGTGAGGCAGTGTGGGAGCACGTGGCAGGGGGGGACAGGTCGACAGGGTGAAGGTCACTCCTACACACTCCTGCACACTCCTACACACTCCTGCACACTCCTGCACACTCATCATTAATTCAAGGGTTATATTTCAGAAATACTGTGTCTTACCCCGGATTCACATTCATTGGCATTTAATCATATAAAATCGCTAGACAAAGTCCGTGGTGCTGACAAATGAGGCCCTCACAACCAAGTCTTCCCCAGCCCGACTACGGGGCTTCACCAATCCCCAGAGACTGACCTATGACTGTGAGGTTGTACCAGGAGGCGAGGCGAGGCTGGGTGTTGACCTGGCAGGAGTAGGCTCCAGCGTCTGAGAGTTGTGTGTACTTGATGGTGAGGGTCCAGGCCTCTCCCTCCTGCCTCACCTCCACTCGGGAGTCGGAAGAGAAGGTCACCACGCCCGAGCTCAACACGTGCAGGTCACCACCCCGGATCCAAGATACCTGTGTTAGGACACGTGTTAGGACACGTGTTACATGGAGGATACACAATACCTGAATTGGGAAACCCGCTGACCCATGACGACCCTTCTTTCCCATCAGCTTACTCTACCATGACCTTTCTCTTGACCTCTCACCATACAACCCATAAATGCTAATAGTCATCAAGTTTCATCAGTTAAAACATGAAGAGGTTTTTTCCCTACTCACCTGTCTGTTACCCAAGTGCTTGACGACGCAGGTCAGAGAGGCCGCCTGTCCGGCCCTGACGGAGACCTGAGAGTCAGGGGCCTCCAGGAAGAAGGGACCTGAGGGGACACTGGTGGGACCCTGGAGCAGCTGTGCTGGGGATGGCAGCACTTCCATGCGGCTCACATCCCACGACTTCAGCTTGCTAGAGGAAGTCGAATCTGGATTTATTTTCATAGGTTTTAGATACCAAGGACTCTGTCGTTTATATTGTAGCGGCGAGCGGTGCTTGGATGCGTGGTGTTCATCTTGTTGTGGACTCAGGTCCCATGAACCGTGCTGTATGGGACTCAGGTCCCATGAACCGTGCTGTACGGGACTCAGGTCCCATGACTCACGCTGTTTCCGATGAAGCTTTAGGGGCGTCTGGTCCCAAGACTCGTGGTGGGTCTCTTGCTGGTGGAGGAGAATCATGTCCCAGGCGCCCTGCTGCTGCTGGCCAGGGATGGAAGTCACATCACTCTGCTGCTCGTAAGGAGTCTTGGCGTGTCCTTCTCTGGGAATAGTGGGTAGAGGTTCCATCTCCTGCGCTCCGCCTCCAACTGTAATTCAATAACAAAAATTATTATGGCACACTTGCAAGAAAATTTGTAGTTTACGCTTCTACACATACATAAGAAAACTTAAGTTAACAAATATAAAAATATAGAGATGAAAATCATTCATTTGTATACTTTCAAATATATATATATATATATATATATATATATATATATATATATATATATATATATATATATATATATATATATATATATATATATATATATCCGCGTGTACTGTAGCCCATATGTATCAACGTGTACTGTAGCCCCTGTGTATCCGCGTCTTTGAGAGCAACTGTGTCCTCGCAAGCGACACCTGGTGGTGCATCTGTGATATTTCCATCTTGCTCATATGTTCTCTGATGTTGAACATTTCAAATATGGTTTTGGCTTTTGTTATTCTTTCCGGGCGGGGGTTTCTCGCCTGAAGGGAGCGGCCGAGTTGGTTGTCTTCTCCGTGAAAATGAAGACGAATGCGTGAAGACGGTCGTGTTTTGTCTTCCCTTCCTCGGGGCAGTTCTTGAAGCGTTGACCTTTTTCAAGATGGTAAATAGTTAGGTTGTTGCTTGGGAGTGTGGGTCAAGGCTCACCACATTATGGTGCGAGTATTACTACTAGTAAACACTATACTATCACTATACAAGCGTGGCCCAAACACGAACATGCTCATTGTATTGGTATATACGTACATACACCCGTTCATACATATGCCTGCAAACATACAACGAAATACACAGATTAACGCACATATAATTTCATGAATATAGGTATATGCAGACATACAACCAAACATACAGGTACAAGCACAAAAGGGTAAGATTAATAATTCTAACACGAATCTTCTCAATTTTTCTTACGTTCTTCTACACTGTCGAGGGTAATTGATAAATGAACTCCAAAATTCTTCCTTTATTCCTGGTCTGACGCCTGAACGCGTTTCGTAATACTAATTACATTTTCAAAGACTTGGGTGAGTCTTTGAGAAAGTTTTGGATGAGGTGACAAAGATAAGACAGAACACGAATCAGTGGGTATAAATTGGATATGAAAACATAAGAATGGAAGTAACTGCAGAGGGCCTATTGGCCTATGCATCCTCTTGCTGTTTCTATGTTGGTTCGGGGTCTTGAAGTGGGTAGAATATAGTTGTGCATTAATTGACTGTTGATTGCTGGTGTTGACTTTTTGATGTGTAGTGCCTCGCTGATGTAGTCTCCTGCTATCGCTGTATTTATCGATGATTTGATGATTAGCAGGAGACTCGATATCAGCGAGGCACTACACATCAAAAAGTCAACACCAGCAATCAACAGTCAATTAATGCACAACTATATTCTACCCACTTCAAGACCCCGAACCAACATAGAAACAGCAAGAGGATGTATGGGCCAATAGACCTTCTGCAGTTACTTCCATTCTTATGTTTTCATATCCAATTTATACCCATTGATTCGTGTTCTGGCTTTTGTCACCTCACCCAAAACTTTTGTACCATATCACCTCTCCCAGAACGATTATAAGTATGATGTATTTTATGTGAAAACCTAAGTCTTTGAAAATGTTATAAGCATTACGAAACGCATTCAGGCGTCAGACCGGATATAAAAGAATGAATTTTGAAGAGTTAATTTATCAATTACCCTCGATAGTGAAGAAGAACGTAAAAAAATTTGAGAAGATTCGTGTTAGAATTATTAATCTTACCCTTTCGGTCATATTCAGCAACATATGTTTACAAGAAAGACTGCTACTAAAACATACTAAATATATATATATATATATATATATATATATATATATATATATATATATATATATATATATATATATATATATATATATATAACAAAATGAAGGCATATTTTTCCCGGAGGAATTAATAGGGAACCATTGATCATGTGGCGGCATTCAGCGTCTCCAGAGCTGAAGTTTGCCTGCAGGAACAAACAGGATAATATCTCAGCTGTTCCTTCTCCGGCTGTCAGCACCAACACGTAATTTATTTTGGGGAAGTTGGTGAGGTTGTTGTTGTTGGTGAGAGACTTCTCGGAGCTCCCTGGTACATAGGCCACTGTGTGTGTGTTGTGACGTGTGTGCCCGAGTGTGAGGTTTGTGTTACTTGTGTGTGTGTCTGTCGGCCTCGCTGTTTCGTGTGGACAACATAAAATGTATTCAGTAACGTAGTCAAGTTATTGTGTTTACCCTGACGCAGCTACGGCGGCGTGTGTGTACTCACCTAGTTGTGCTTACGGGAGATGAGCTCTGGCTCTTTGGTCCCGCCTCTCAACTGTCAATCAACTGACGTACAGATTCCTGAGCCTACTGGGCTCTATCATATCTACATTTGAAACTGTGTATGGAGTCAGCCTCCCCCACATCACTTCCTAGTGCATTCCATTTACTAACTACTCTGATACTGAAAAAGTTCTTTCTAACGTCCCTGTGGCTCATTTGGGTACTCAGCTTCCACCTGTGTCCCCTTGTTCGCGTCCCTCCAGTGTTGAATAGTTTATCCTTGTCTACTCGGTCGATTCCCCTGAGGATTTTGTAGGTAGTGATTATGTCCCCCCTTACTCTTCTGTCTTCCAGTGTTGTAAGGTGCATTTCCCGCAGCCTTTCCTCATAACTCATGCCTCTTAGTTCTGGGACTAGTCTAGTGGCATACCTTTGAACTTTTTCCCAGCTTCGTCTTATGCTTGACAAGGTACGGGCTCCATGCTGGGGCCGCATACTCCAGGATTGGTCTTACATATGTGGTGTACAAGATTCTGAATGATTCCTTACACAGATTCCTGAACGCTATTCTGATGTTAGCCAGCCACGCATATGCCGCAGACGTTATTCTTTTTATGTAGGCTTCAGGAGACAGGTTTGGTATGATATCAACTCCTAGATCTTTCTCTCTGTCCGTTTCATTAAGTACTTCATCTCCTATTCTGTATCTTGTGTCTGGCCTTCTGTTTCCACCGCCTAGTTTCATTACTTTGCATTTACTCGGGTTTAACTTCAACAGCCATTTGTTGGACCATTCACTCTGTCTAGGTCATCTATGTGTGTGTGTGTGTGGGTGTCTGTGTTTGCATGCTTATGTATTCATAAATTTTCAAGTGTTTGCTCCTGCACGATCGAGCCTCAGCTCTTGGTTTTTGTAGATGTCGGGAGTCTCGTCCTACATGACTCATATCTGTATAAGTTGAAAAAGGAGTTGGTTTTTATAATATTTCGTCAATGACCTGTCATTTCTGTGCTACTCCTGGGCTGGAGAGTTACCCCCGTCTCACTGTGGCTCCTGTCTTTACCGTCAGTACCGTCTTCTTTGGTAATTTGATTCGGTGTTGGGGCGGTCAACCTCTGGAGGGTTATTAAGACCACAACTTTTAATTTCATGCTTCTTGAGATGAGGTCTCCACGCAAGGGCTGCACACTTTTGGACAAGTCTCACGTAGGTAATACATTATTTTCTGAATGGATCCTCATCGAGGTTCCTCAAGGCTGTCCCAATGTTTGCCAGCTTCTCTTATGCCGCTCATGTTATTATACTTATGTGTTCCTCTGGAATTGTATATGTTCTTTAGTATTATTATATAGTCACTTCAGCATGGTGGTTCACCGTTATTGTGCGTTTTCTTGCTGGTCTGTTGTCCTGTATCTCCTCACTTTACATTTTTTTTTTTTTTTTTTTTTTTTTTTTTTGAGATATATACAAGAGTTGTTACATTCTTGTACAGCCACTAGTACGCGTAGCGTTTCGGGCAGGTCCTTAATCCTATGGTCCCTGGAATACGATCCCCTGCCGCGAAGAATCGTTTTGCCGCGAAGAATCGTTTAATTTTCTTATATCATGTTTCAGTAGCCGTCTCCCTGTCACTTCTCTAGCCTATATAGAGCCTCCAAGAGATCTCTGTCTACAGCTGTCAAAACTCTCCTCAGTAATTTCGCGTCGTCTGCAAACATTAACATGCAGGAATAAACATGTCAAGAGCACAAGCAATACATACAGCTGACAGAATCATCGATCACAGCTCACGGCTCCTCGCATTATATGACTGGAAACTCAATATCAGGCCGGCAATTCAGGAAATAAAAATCTCATACCGAAATATCCTGACACAGTTGGATTAAAACCAGCATCAGACTGGAATGAATGTTACTGATAACAAGGAGAGCACGTTGGCAGCCTAGTGGAGTGGTGCTTCATCTGTGTGTCTGGCCCCCTGGGTCTGAGTGGTGCTTCATCTGTGTGTCTGGGTCCCTGGGTCTGTGAGTGGTGCTTCATCTGTGTATCTGGCTCCCTGGGTCTGTGAGTGGTGCTTCATCTGTGTATCTGGCTCCCTGGGTCTGTGAGTGGTGCTTCATCTGTGTATCTGGCTCCCTGGGTCTGTGAGTGGTGCTTCATCTGTGTATCTGGCTCCCTGGGTCTGTGAGTGGTGCTTCATCTGTGTATCTGGCTCCCTGGGTCTGTGAGTGGTGCTTCATCTGTGTATCTGGCTCCCTGGGTCTGTGAGTGGTGCTTCATCTGTGTGTCTGGCTGTCTACATCTGTGTCAGTATATATTTTACTGAGTTTTTTTTTATCTCATGTGTATTTATAATTTGGTCTATGTCAATGTGTTTTATGTTTATGTGTCTCTCTCTCTTTCTCTCTCTCTCTCTCTCTCTCTCTCTCTCTCTCTCTCTCTCTCTCTCTCTCTCTCTCTCTCTCTCTCTCTCTCTCTCTCTCTCTCTCTCTCTCTCTCTCTCTCTCTCTCTCTCTCTATCTATCTATCTATTTCTATCTCTCTCCCTTCCTCCCTGTATTAGCAATTTTGCGCACAAAAAGCAGCTAATGGCTTCAACACAAATTACAGGCAATCCAAGCCAAAGTTAGGGAACAAGTTCCAGGAAGAGGAATACAAAGAACACGTGATTAAGAAACTTTGCGGTAAGGAATATTGGCTTCTAAAGTTGGTGTTATCAGCCCCGAGGCTTCCACCACGCCTCTCAGCATCACC